AGGGTTTATATATATATATATATATATATATATATATATATATTAGCAAGGATACATTAAATGGATCAAAAGAAACAGACATTTATAACACCACAAAGGAACTTTCTATTCATCAAAGAACCCTGAAAAAAATGAATCACTGTTTCCACAAAAAATATTAAGCAGTACAACTGTTTTCAACATTGTTAATAATTATAAATGTTTCTTGAGCAGCAAATCAGCATATTAGAATGATTTCTGATGGCTGCTGAAAATTCAGCTTTGATATCACAGGAATGAATTGCACTTTAAAATATATTAAAGTGCAAAGCAGTAATTGTATATTGTCATATTATTTCACAGTATTACTATTTTTATATAATTTTGCATTAAATGCAGCCTTGGTGAACTTTTTTTTTTTTAATCACTTAAAATATATACTGACACCAAACTTTTTAATGCTAGCATATATTAATATAAATGTATTTATTACATATTTTAATGGGCAGTGATTTCAAGATCATAAAAAAAGTGTTAAGTTTCCAAATCCCCAGTAAAGTACTACACAACCCTTGAACCCACTACCCTCTCCCATGAAGCACCTTCACTACACTCTTAAGTTACTTACATATTTGTATACTGAATATCTAAATATTTTGCAATAAATTAAGTTATATTATAACATTATAATATTTTTAAGATTTGTTTTATACATGGAATTGGTGTGTGTGTGTGTGTGTATATACAGTATATATATATATAATTTAATGTAAATTTAGTTTGTTATGATGCCGGTTTTAGTTCTAAAATATTGCTCTTCACTAGGGGACAACAAGCCTCATTCCACTTAAAGGGATGTCAACTTTAATTGTACGGAGAATAAAACATTCTTTCATGTTTATGAATATATTCAAAATATATTCTTCCATGTTCCATGAAAGAGGTCGTTTTTTGGGTGAACTGTCCCTTTAAGCAGCATAATTTGCAAAATGTTTGTTTACCACATCCTTTTCAAAATTAGGACAAGTCTAATATTCACACACACACAAAAAAAGCTGCAAAACATCTAGATTTTAGACTGGAGACAGGACTTTGGAATGTGACTAATGTTTAAGTTGCGCATTGCAACAGAGAAAAACAAGTTGAAAAGCCCACATCACGAACTGAACAAATGATTGACATTCCATTTCACAGATGCTCAAGTCTATTTGCCAAGTAGGCAGTGACCCTTGTCCTAAAAGTCATGACTAGACTCAACATAAGATAACATTCCATTCTTGTGTTACTTTCTATAAAACATTTTATTGTTGTACAGACCATTTGAAAAATACATCATTAAATAACGCTTACAAAATCAAAAGGAAATGCTTCAGCAATAAGAGTTCTTCTCTGAAACAGCACTTCTCTTTTTTTGTTTGTTTATTTGCAAATATTGAATAATTGGAATAAAAATGTAACTCTTAAAAAGATTGAAATGCTATTAAAGTTGTCAGCCTCTATGGCTTAAACCTACGTCCTTCCAGTCTATGTTTGGTTAGTCTTCACGCTCCTGTGCAGGAGCCATCGCTATCTATTCCTGAAGAAATCAGGCACTGAACACTGGCTTTCTTGTTGATTGGCACTTCAGCGGGCCTATGGCCTCTGTGTGAGCCTGCTTTTGCCCTCCTCCTGCTCTGCCAGTTTGAAATGGGTGTATGCCAGGATGCCACTGAGGGTGCAGAGGATGCCCAGACCTTGGTTTAAGGACAAAGGGTCCTGGAAGAGGACGTACCCACCCAGTAATGTGATGCAGAACTTGAAGTGTCCAAACATGTTGTAGCTGTGAGGGGAAATGTTAAGGGAACTTGTCTGACAATGACTTTTGGATATACTTATGACTTGCACTTGAGTAACGTGAGGACATGTGACTTGAGATGAGTCAGGGACTTATCTTCTTAACATATTTGATTCTTTCTGAAAGTTAATATTCTTTAGTCAGTTCTAATATTGATCTAAGCATATATCAGTCTCGTTAGTATGCAGCAAAAGTTAATAAATCTTTTAAAAAAAATTAAAAAGTATATGTTAACAAAATAACAGATGTTAGTTTTAATACAGATTTATGGATATAGCAGATTTGTGAATATGTAAAAGGTTAATAAATCTGTTAAAAATAAATCTGTTAATAAAATAATAGACGTATTTTAATATTAATATATGGATATAACAGTCTTGCAAATATGTAAAAAGTGAATAAATCTGTTAAAAATAAATCTGAATAATTTGTTAATAAAATAACATGTTAGTTTAAATATTAATTTATGAATATATCAGTCTTGCAAATATATACAAAGTTTAAAAATCTTTTATAAATATATATATTGTGTTAAAATAAGTTTGTTTTAATATTGATTTAGGAATATAGCAGTCTTGTAAAGAAGTTGATAAATCTATTAAAAATAAGTGTAATCTGTTAATAAAACAAGTTCGTTTTAATACTGATTTATGGATATATCAGTCTTGCAAATATGATATGTACAAATAGTTAATAAATATATTAAAGTCAAATCTGTTAATGTTATTTTTGATATTGATTTACGGATATATTGATAAAAATATATAAATAAGTATAATGCTGTTTTTAATGGTGATTTATGGATATGAGTTGTATGAATATGATATCTAAATGAGTTCATGTTAAGAAAATAAAAAACTTAAAATAACATGCTTTTTTTCATATTGATTGATTGATGGATAAATCAATGTTAACATCAACTTAAATGTACATGAATTACTAGTAAGAACTGGATGCATGCGTTTGGGAATTGGCTTGATTGTAACTCAGTAACTTCTATTTATATTAATACATGAATTCTAAATGAACGTCATCACAAACTGAACAACCCAGCACTTATTAAAAGTAACTAAATTTGTTAAACATTAAAAAAATTATGAGATGACATTATCTATTTTTCATACAGTATAACTTATATTTTACACATAAAAAATTATATATTTTAGAAATAGGGCTAACAGAACATAAGCTAGCAGCTCATCATATTTCCACATCCTTGGCTTTAAAAAAAAAAGAAGAAGTTTGAAAACCCTTGGTTGAGAGAACACTTGCCTAATAATAAGTGGCCCAAAAGTGCTCCCTCTACT